TTAATTTTCGTTTTTAATAAAATGAGCATCGGAGCTTCGTCGTTACCAGAGTCGAAATTTTCCTCGGCCGACTTGCCGCTGTTAAAATATAAATTTTTTCTTTTTAATTATCAAACATTTTTTATGGTTGAGTTTTATTGAATTTTTCATAATTTCGTTGACGTCATTAAACACGCTGTTTTTTGGATTATTTTATGTTTACCACTCTCCCTACTTTGTACGATGGTCTACTGCCTCTTCTTTTCTCTTTCAGGCATAAAAAGTATCATATTACCTTCCGGCAACGATAAGAAATTAAACAAAAATAGGTAAATAGGCTCTTGAAGTTTTCGATACAGACGGTGGGGACGAGGGTTGGAAGTCGAATCTTCTAAATATGCGTCCTCAACTACAATGCTATTTATTCGCACAAATTATTGAATCTCCGTTACTCTCTTTGATGAGGGGTATTTAAAATCCGGTATTTCCCGTGAAAACATGTGGCTTGAGTATAAAACGACTGGGGAGGTTAGTGAAACCCTCAAAAGACGACGTGCCTTTGATACTTATAGCGTGCATGTACAAAATATTTTCTCCTTGATTTCATTTGGGAGGACTTACTAAGTGTATAAACCACAGGCTGGCCTTTTTCAATGGTATTTTTAGGGCATTTCAGTGCACATCGTGGTTTTTTTGTACCTTTTTTGTTTTTTTCGTATTTCACACGTCACGACCGGCTTTTCGGATACGCCGCACGTGGTTCGATCGATCCGGCACTGTATACATAAATACATATGTATACATGCATTATGATGGTCCATTGGTCGTTATTTGTGCTACACGAAGCGTTCAAACCTCGTACATAATTACATGAATGCATAAATAAACGCACGGACGTTAACCATCGTGTGGGGGAGACAAAACACAACGAATTGAATATTATAATAATTATATAGGCAGGTTTATATTATAGGAAACACGGGAACACGCGTCGACTTGTGTCCGCGGCGGCGCGCGACAGGTAAATAATTATTCACGCGAGTAGATGTATATACATACGTATTATATTATACACCGTGTTTATCCGAATCGAGATCGTCCGTCCGTTATTGAGTTATTGTACGCGGTCGCGGGGGAGACGGAAATCCGCGCCGTATACAGCTTCACCGTTCCACGGCTATAAAAACGCATGCATTTGCCAAAAGTCAATTACACCAGCATGGCGTAATATACTGCTGAGAGACGTTCAAAAGAGTCGCCGTGCCGGATACGCGATTTCCGTAAACAATAAATAATAATCTCCCGGCTCGACCGTAATAATATGTAAAATATATACACATATAGGTACGATATAGCAGGTTGTATGAGTGGCTCGGTTATCGGATGCGGAACTTGGACGATCGGTACGGAACAGGGGAAAAAAAAACTGTCCTAGGATAATGAGGACGGGTGCAGTCACTGTCATCGGTAATTTAATGCATATCTGTAAGGGGCGAACAACCATAGCTAACGAAAATACGATTCTGAGCGGATTTCGGTTGATAGCGTTGCTTTGTCAACAATATTTATGTTATTTTATGGTAAAATAATTACATACGTATCATTTATTTTCTTTTACGATATTTGTTTAATAATAAAGTTCTAGTCGAACCAGTAGCTCTGTATGTAAGCAATACTTGGGTAACGACAAAATCAGATGAAAAACAAATTAGAAGTGTTTGATAGAAAGATATTGAGGAAGATATTTGGCCCAAAGAGATACAATGAAGGAGATTATGAAATACGAAGCAATAAGGACTTAGAAGAACTATATAACGAACCCAACATTTTGAAATGTTGAAAAACGTGCGAATAGGCTGGGCCGGACGAGTATGGAGATCAAAAGGACTAATTGGACAAACAATTGCATGGAAACCAAACGTAAAGAGAACCAAAGGACGACCCAGACAAAGATGGGCAGACAGAATAAAATAATACCTGAAGATATTGGGAGTAATGAATGCAGAAAAAACGGCAAAAGACCGAGAAGATTGGAGACAATATGTTGTAGCGGCAATGGGCCTAAAAGGCCTGTAAAAATTCAAAGAAGAAGAAGAATATTTGTTTAATACTGTACCTATTTTCTCGTCGTTTTTGGTTTTCCCATATTTTTTCCCATGTATTATGTAAAAAGCTGGGAAAATCAAAAAATAATCTCCTTACAGTGCTTCTCCAGTCCGATTTCCTTTCAAAAAAAAAATGCTACATTTATAAATCGAAGCAAAATTTCTGATAGACAAGTTTTTCACAGCTAAACAAAATTAAAATAAACATCGTTATAAAATCAATACATTCCTCGCTCTATTTAGAATCTAAAGCCAAAGGCTTTTGAAATGTGGTGTTATTGAAAAATGATCAAGATTAAACGAATAATAAGAATAACAAACGCAGAAGTGCTAAACAGAATATAGGAAACACGAGAACTTTGTAATAGAATACAAGTCAAAAAGGGCACTGTGGTAATGCGTCTACTGCATCACGATACTCAACGAAATGCGCCATAAGAATTGACGATCATACCGTGGAGGAACACCACGGTTGGAGTTTATGAAACGAATCGTGATATAGACATTTTTAAATTTTCGATTTTTACATCTATATTTTTTCGAGTCGTTAATTATGTGATGTCTGACTTAATAAATCGTAAAAAAACGTAATTTTATTTTATGATATGGTACGAACTTTGCTCGATTTACAATTGATGTGTGCAATATATACAATATTATTATATAATGCTAACAAAAATAAGTTTATATTTGAGAGTAGGAGGGAATCAATTTTATAGCCAATGAGGTAATTTAGGAAAGTTACGGCAGTGACGATGGTCACAAAGTAAAGGTAAGTTAAATACATAAAAAAAAGAGGAGGAAAAACTACGAGGAAAAATAACTTTTAATTTACGACTCGCAAAGCGCAACGCTATACAAACGAAATTAGAAAACTAAACCGTTAATCAACACACTGAGATAACTTTAACGTTTCTGTATGTTTCCACGCGGGTTATCAAAATCTAAAACGAACGGCGGGGGTGAAAGTTGACAGTTGAAACCCTCTAAACTCTCATTCCTGAAAACAATAATATATATATATATATGTATACACGTTTCAACTCCGTTATTCACTTCGGGTAAAGTAGGTGTGTCAAGGTAATTAAAACCCGGTGTTTCCCCGTGTAAACGCGAAATTTTACCATAAAAATGGCTGATAGGCCGTTGAAAGTTTTTAACCCTCCGAAAGCGTACCTACGGATACTTACACGCAAGTAAGGGTCCTCTCACCCGTTTTCGCGTGCAACACCGAATGGCAATATTATCTTATACAAACGGTGCGAGAACGCGACTATGAGAATATTCGCAATTTGTTGAAATATTTCACTATGTATATATATTTTCATGCGTCTTAATTAGGCAGGCACACTAGGTCAGTACTCGGGTACGTTCGCGTTGAACCGACAGAACGGAATACACAGGGTTTCCGGTCAACTAAAAGTTACACCAAATTAAAGTAAGATATATAATATTATGACGTGTTTTATGAGAGTGCATACGTGAATTAAACTTTCCAATTATGCAAATGGCATCATTAAAAAAAAATAATAATAATAATAATTAAAAATTTGTTGCCGTATATTTGCATTGAAAAGTAGCAAATAAAATACCGGGAGAATAATAATAAAAAAAAATTCGTGTAAAAACTAAAATTCCCATACGAAAACTTAAAACCCCATACGGCTTGTTTGTTCTATCACAATAAATTATCTATTTAGACCTACTTAAAAAAAAACATAATTTTCTAATGTGATTTTGGATTTTAATTGTGTTATATAAGCCCCAGGGCTAGTCAAAATTAAAGCTATATAAAATTAAATTAGAGTAAAACTAAACTAAAAACTCAATTTAAAAAAAAAAATCTGATACTGGGTATGGAAGTGGCCACTATTAGGTGAGAAGTTGGAAAGATAGGATACAGGGGGTCATTTCATTTATATCTGTAAGCAACGATAAACCATTGCTTGACGAAAGACGATTCCGAGCGCAGTTCGGTAATACGTAATTTGAAGTGCCATAATGTTTTTTATAGATTTTCGTTTAAATTTGATTCCAAAACGCTGGTTAAAAAAAAAAAAAGTCTTACGATGATTTTGGAAATTTTCCTATGTCTAAGTCCAATATAAGTATTATTACCAAGTTTCAAGTCTCTACGTGTATTACTACGTGTATAACTGAATTACAGCACAAAACTCCCGAAAATGAAAATTCCTTAAAAGCTCAAAAGTTTTGACAATAAAACCGTAAAAAAGAAAATCAAAATGGCAATAAAAAAGGTATCGTGTTAAATCAATTATAATTAAATCATTTTTTTTTTTTTTTTTGTAGAAAACGTCGTTCGTGTTTTTATAAAATAATGGAATCGTGAAATTGTTTTTTTATCAGTTTTCCTACATTTTTACCCACTTAAGTGATTTTATTTAAAAAATGGCGTCAAAATTCAAAAAATTACCCGTTTAAAGTACAGTCTACATAACTTGAGCTTTCAGAGAAGTTGCTGCACGTAAAAATCGGAACAAGTTTACTGGGAAAAAACGTGTCCACAGATTAGAACAAAGAAGAAGAAAAAGCAGAAATAAACAACATTGTAAAACTAAGCTCCCCTGCTACGCTCGGAATCTAAAATGTTCGGACGTCTTTAGACGCATCCGTTAGAAATCTCTATAGGTAGCATTGGAATTTCACTAGAATTTTGTCTATGGCTAATGGTGCCATTCTCTGTTGAGGAACTTTTCGTAACATTTCAAAAAATGAATGAAATTTTTTTATTTTCCCAAGTACCAGAGTCACTATTAACAATTCCCTTATTTTTATTATGTTTGTACCGTTTCATTATTACTTTTATAAACATGACATAACCTAAAATTTCATGGACAGTCAATTCTTCGCGGGTCATACACATTTCGGTTTTTTCACCCCGTTTTTGGATTAGGTTTTTAGATAAATCTAATAAACAAGGGCGTTGTATTAATTATAGATTACCTAAAGGAATTTGAAATGTTCTCTGTTCGAGTAATTATTTGTTTCGAGTTTAATATAATTATAACGTATGACTAACGTAAATTATGTAAGAATTATAAATATAAGTATCGTAATACATCACAGATAAACGTCATGTCTTTATAATTAAAGTTTTTTATATTTTTTTTTTTTTTTTTTTTTTTTTAAAAATTGTATACTTCTCGATTTGTATACAAAATAATATAATACATACATTGATTTGAAATAAAATTATCCACATTCGGTAAGCAACGCTTGTGTTAAAGGTAGAAAGTTCAATGTTTCATAATATATATGTAAAATTAATATAAATTAGACATAGATATATAAACTAATAAAAATACAGAAAGATTTAGATATGAACATTAATAGACACACACTTAAACTAGAGACGTGAAAAACCAATTTATAACCGATAATTTAGCATTAGAAAATGTACTGATAATATTTTTTTTCATAGTAACAGGCATAGAATTAAAATAAATAGGACCGAGGCAGTCCACGAGTTTTCGACCAAATGATTTTTTGAAATACATAACTTTGACATCATAAGCTATATTTTATCTTTTATCTGAGATTTCATTTAAATTAATCCAGTTATCAACATTTTTTACCACCCATAAAATAACAATTTTTTTTTGAACAGCATATCCACTGGTAATGCATTAAAGGATTTAAAGTTTATAATAGTCAAACCTTCAAAGGTAGATTTTCGTGAACGTTTACGATATATTTTTCTTTGATGCATTAACAGTAGTTTCAGAGCATTAACTGAACGACCCCCTTCCAAATTAACAGCCCCTATTGAAGTATTGCTTGATACGAATCTAAATATACTGTACAAATTACTTGCATCGATACAACCTTGCGTAATTTATAAAAACTAAAACTTAAAGTACGAAGACGTATTACTGAGTTATCCACATGCAAATTCCATCCCAAGTGTTCATCAATGGTTAATTCTAATCAACGTATACTTGAGATTCTACATAAAGTTTTACATTTTATACCATTGTACAAATTATTTGTATCACAAGAGTGTATAGTTAAATCATCAAAATTGTTTTCTTTATTATTTATCACGAAGACCATAAACATTGTTTTATTATAATTTAATGATAACTTTCTATAGTTTAAAAACTCTACTACTATTTAAAATTCTTTTGTCGCTTTCAAACATACTTCATACCGGGTGTCTCTTGAGAAAAATAGACACGTGCCATCAGCATAAGTGACGATAAGCCCTTTAATATCTGAACTACAAATACTATCTATGTACAAGATAAATACAATTGGACTCAGAACACTACCTTGTGGAACACCGCAATTTATGAGCATTTCATCCCCAGTAATTCCACCAAACTATATTTCTCATAAGTCATTACACCGTCATTTTGGTTTCATTTAAATTTTGAAAAATACAACTGTCAACCCGGTATCGAAAAATTACAATTGTTTACATCATGCCATATTTCTGTTAAGCAGATTACATCTAAACTCGTATCATTAACATTATTTTGTAGAAACAACAAAAATTCATCAAAATGACACCCTATACTTCTGATATTACAATGAAATACACATTAAGTTACATTTTTATAATTATTAATCATAAATCATTTGTATGGTTCTTCTCTATGATAATGTGATAAAAAGGCTTTAATCGTTTCTCCACAAACTTTTTTGTCTCATTTAACACAGTCCAGTTTTTATGGACCCCATACAGTATAACTACAAACTAAGACGTATAGGACTGGAAACGATGGGCTGGGGAGCGGAAAAACGTTCCTCAAACGTTTTTATTGATACGATTGGGCGATTGCTGCCTTATACCCGGTGGTGGTATCCAAGTACTACTATATTGATACGAAAATGTGTTATACCGTCTTCTACTGATCATTATTATTGTATTATAGCGATTTTGTTGAACATAATTAAATTTAGGTAAGTAAACATACTACATCAACAATTATAATTTGTAATAAACTGCAATCATTACAAGAGAAGTTAAAATCAGTGTG